ATCAGTCCGGGTCTGAATAGAGGGTAGACATCTACACACACACAGAGACTGCGTGTCCAGACAATGGAAAACACCAGTGTGAGCAGGCTCTGATTAAATAGATTGTGATTGAAGTTTCACTACAGACAGGAGGATAACCATAGCCTTTTCCCAAACCTGGATTTGAAGCTTTGTGTTGATTCTTCTGCCAGAGTTTATCCTTTAGTTTTGTTGTGGCGTAAACACTTACTTCTTGTATCTTTTTGTTGATCTGACTTGTCCACTTGTACATCTCTGTTGCACACCGCACTGCTTATTTCCACACATATTTCTTTTGTCCCTTAACAAAGAGAACTGTCAAGCTAGACACCCTGCAGTAGAGCTCATTTGGCACAATTCCGTCTTTCTTTTACAACTAACACGTAGGACTTGTAGAGTTGCAATGAAAAAGACTTGAAAACAATCTACACACTATTACTATTCCTTAAATAGACATCCGTCCAAATCTGGACTGGTTTGTGAGAGTGTCTTCATGCTTTGTTAAAGTAAAAGCAAAAAGCCTCTGCAGATTGCACACCTGTCATGGGAGCTCTGATCCCAGATGCAGCAGAATAGAAAAAGGCAGCCGAATTGTGCACATCAAAGCACCAATCAGTAGCTCTACTGCCAAAGCTGGGATACCACTCTTCAATGTCCCGTTCCTCTCACTACTCTTTGTTCTCTTGCCATATCCTCCTCAGTACCACCCCTCACAAGCTGAATGACTGTTTCAAACCCATTTCACAGCTAGCAGCTTGACTAATATTCCTCTGCCATGTGTTTCTTCTCCATTACCATCCATGTGACATGTCTATGATCTCTAAGTTGGTGAGCATGTGGGTGTGAGTATATAAATATGTGTTATGATTTTCAGTGTCGGGCTGTCTGAAGGCACCTCTTGTCTCCATTATATAAAGCCGTTTTCTGTCTCGGCCTGAATCAGTTGCTCTTGATTGATGTGTAAAATTGGACTGTTTCTGCGTCTGTATATTCCTGAGGCAGGAGATCTGAGTTGGTTTCTTTTTCCTTGCCTCCTGAGGCACACAAAGTTTTTCATGTTATTGTGGGTCGGAGTCAAACGGAGTACTGCACGTGACGCCACACACTGCAGGTTGATCTGCTCCTTTTTCACATTTTCTCTGTGCTGTCTGTATTTTTGTGTATGTGTCTATGTGTGTTGTGGGGAGTGTAAAGCTCGCCGCCTGTGATGAATTACCACGGCAGTGGAAACAAATTTGGACGCCGAGGAGTGTTGGTTTTGCTCAGAAATTCGTGTTGCCTTTCTGCTCTGTGTAATGATGAAGAACTGGGCACATATCAGCCAGAGGAAGAATGCAACTGTTGCAGATGGAAAACAAAACATGCATACAAAGATGCAAGCAGGCAGGGAAGTGGGCCGTGATATATCCACCGTATGTGTGTTTTATATCGGAGCTTTGTGTGGGGTTTGGGCACAACTTTTACAACTGAAGCTCAACGCCATGTGGACCCTCTGCCTGTAAAACAGAAGCTTCAGTTTGTTTGCTGTAAAGGGACCATTTACTGTGGAGCTGATTTAAGATTTGTGTAGGTTTACAGAAAACTCAATATGGTAATGTGAGTATGAACATGTATGCAACTCCAGTTTGCACAGCACAGTGTGACTGTAGTGGTTGTACTTTACAGCTCATGAAAGAGTTTCAGTTTGGAAGTAGAGCTTATAAGCATCTGACAGTTGACAGCAAAGGGTGATCATGGTCACAATACCAGTCGTCATTGAAATATTTGAAATGGACAAACCCTATCAGCATCTGTACATATTACTCGCTCAAACATGTCTTGAAAAAGGTACTTTTGGAATCTTTAAATTGCAGGAATGAGCACATTCTTTGCTCATTTTAAAATGTAAAGATTAACCAAGGAATATGTATAAAGAAAATACTTTAAAGTTACCTACTTTAAAGTATATCATGTGGACTTGAGGTGAATATGAGGTGCCTTTCACATCTGAATCATTAATAGCAATATGGCATATCATTTGTAGTAGTCTGTTGTTTTAGTAATAAAGAGATTAAGGTTGTGTATACCATATGTGATACTAAATATAGGCTTGTCTTAGAGCAGCTGACTAAATCAGGGATGGTGTGCAGAAACAATTGCTATAGGAATCTTTGTCTCTATGCGTTGTGAAGCCCTCTATCAAAAACCTTTGAACCTGACATCTTATTTGAAGTTCTAATTGTTCTGGTTAACGTGCAAAGCTTATGGTTAAAATGCCAAACTTTTAATTCCAATTCAAATAATTAGAATTCACCATAGTGCCATCATATCGACAATGACCCTGAGCTCCATTATGTCCAACCCTATCTGATTATACTATGGAAAGTATTTGGTGCTGCCAATGAACAATGGAAAGTAAAAAGGAAACATAAGTAGGTAAGCGCCTTTGGCCGAACCTAATATTGAAGTTTGTGTCATTATTTTTTAATCCTTTTCTGAGACGTTCACCCTATCCCCCACCCTATTGTCAATCGATAGAGTTTGTGTCAACCCCTCTCACCTCTTCAACAGAAATGATTAGCTTGATTTTAGAGTTTTTACTTTTGTTTTTGTATTGCAAAGCAGCTGTGATTGCATTAGCTTCTAAACTTGCAAGTCATTGTATTTGAATGCTGCATAATCATATTTGGGAAACTGCACATTTGCTTAGAGGAGGCAAGATTTCCCAGGTCACGGTCTGCCTTATTGAAGCCTGCCCCAGCTCAACCTTCTGGCAATATGTGTTAATATGTACTCATTATGCCCCTGCTTCCACCTTGCATGGGGATTTTCTGGTCAAATGTGCTTCCTTTTTTACTGACATCTGCAAATGTAATTGTGTGCTTTAATTAAAGCCTAAGCCGGATGTAATCCACAAATACATAAAGCCCAATAAGTTGGTTTAGAATGGGCAGATCCTCAGTCCAGTAAAGGGTCTCCTATCACAGTATTAGTGTTAGGTATACAGCTATATTTTAGTTCCAGAGGTAACCATCAGACAAACCGGAGAGAGAGGGAAAAACACACACAACCTTAATCAGAACATCAGAACCTCATGTTCTTCACTTAATCAGTTGAGGGACGGAGCAGTCACACTGTGGCTGATACAGCTCTATGGAGCTAAAAATGTTTTCTAGCACATCATACACACATTTATTAGACAAGCTTAATGTGCGAACTCAGTGTTTACATGCATGTGAGCGAATTTATGTTCATACGTCAGTAATACTTAATCTGAAGGCAAAATGTGTGATTTTGAACATTGTCATTAGTTGTGCAGCCCCTGCCCAGCACCGTTGTAAGTTTCGGATTCTGATTGCAGGTCACAGTGACTGGACATCATGCTTTTGTGCTGGAAATCCGTATTAGAGACATAAAGCTCATTGGTGACCGCAAACTAGAAATCCAGAGCAGAAATCTATATTCCATTGCTCTTGTAAAGTCAGGGCCAGAATATTAACAAAATGTGCACAATGTGCCAGCATTTTCAACATTTAGCTAAATGTTGTTGACCTCTTATGTAAAGCTCCAGTTACATATGTTGCTCCTTTTTAATGATGGTTCTTCCTTATGAGACACACAACACACTGTTTGACATATTGCCTTTTAAATATGGGTCATTTCAGTGTACATTTTCCAAATTAATGACATCAAATATGATTGTATTTGTTATGTAATTGCTGGTCAGTAGTTAAACATACATTTGAACCAAAATAACTGAAAACAGTCAAAAGTAATGACCATACTGTACAAAAGTTTAAAGACACAATCTGGTGCACTTGAGGCTAGCATGTTGGATGCCTGCATGCCCAAACAGTACTCAAACACTCATTGATGAAAGTATGTCCCCTGAAATAAGTGTTTCTTTAACATTAAAAGATCGCAATCTAAGGTTTGCCTCAAAATGTTGTTGCTCTTTTCCCTCACTTTAAAACAATGAGTATCTTTCTTTTTCAAAATGAATACTAAAGCAATCTTTTTCCAAACTCTCAAAGAGGACACTTCTCTAAACAAAAAAATGAGACTGATAGACAGCTTGTGAAAGTCTTCCAGTTGTCAAATGTATTACAAATACTACTGTGGTTGCACCGTAGCTTTAAATGCATTAATGGAAGTGTCCAGTTCAGTGACAGGCAGTCCTTCACATCTGCATGGTGGTCGACAAACCCTTAAAATGTGAAGGGCCCCAAAGAAGTATTGTTGAAAAGGAAACACTCACATTTGCATGACAACCAGCACAAAGTTTCTATTGACAGTGTGTTTGCCCTCAGCAATCCCATATTTCTGCTAGCCATTTTCCTTCCTTTTTACTGGAGGCTGTTTTCACTTCAAATCACTAACCGGGTCCATCATTTTGCCTCATGTGTCGGCCAGGCTTTCAGCTGTGCCAACACAAGGCACGATTTACATGTCATATCTTCAAAGAGTTTCCCTTTCGAAATACATCTATATTCTGGCGTTTCCCCTGCTGAAACAAAGCAAGGACCTTATATTTTAAGCCAAGAGTATTCTACATTGAATACACCATTTTGACAGCTCAACAGGGCCCTGTACTAAATGTCTCTCTTTTTATGACATTGTAAATATCCTTCATGAGTGTTTAGTTTCACAACAATGCATCCACAACTGCATTGCACAAGGTTGCAAACACCAGGGTGCACATTTGCACAGCAGGTTGTCTGCAAGACCATGCCAACTTTGATTAGCTTGGACTTAAACCCATCATATGTTAGGCATTTGACTTTGTTATTGGATCAATGTGAAATATATAGTATGTGCTTGTTCACAGCTTTCTTTATGCAGTAACATGTAATGTGTTTATATAATGTCCTGCCGTTGAATGTTTTTTGCAGACAGTATGGCAAAGCTCAGCAATAGAAGAAAGTGCACTTTATCTAATTCTGTTTTCTTACCTCTACTCTGTCTTCTAACACCCCCCTTTCTTTTCTTCCTGCGTTTTTCAGAGAATGATGAGACAGGTGTGATGGATAGTTTGCTGGAAGCCCTACAGTCTGGAGCTGCATTCAGAGACCGCAGGAAGAGAGCACCAAGACCCAGAGGTGAGTCTCATCTCCTCTGATCAAATGTATACACAAACTAAGATGCACATAGACATTCTCATATTGTCTGGAAAATAATTTGGACGATATTTTGAGTCCATTCAGATAAACGCAGGTCCTAACTTTCCAACTGGATGCATATGTTTGTTTTAAAAAATCTGAGTGAACTAAAACGTTTTTTCCAAAATACACTAGTTTTTTTGTTTGTACACATGCTTGCTCTGAGCACAATGCTCAAAGCTTTACACCATTACCTCGACTGTTTGATGATTGGATACCAAAAAAAGCACTAAACAACACCCAACAAATAAACACATGTTGTGAATTCAACATGAGATCTTTACTGTTTTGAATGGACTGCCCATTAAGCTATAGTTGCAATCGACAGCTGTTCCCTTGTTGTTAATAACCTTCTCTTCACAGCCATTCTTCAGCCTCTTTTTGATCCTCTTAGTACTGTAAGATATGTTTGCATCATGTGTCCACTGCCCTCCACAGATAACCAGCAGAAGACAATCAGCCCCAGCTCCTTCCGCCAGGTTCTCAGGCCTGTTAACCATGGTAAAACACACAGTTGAAACCCACAAAGCTAAAGCCTCAAGCATGCTCAGCTCTGTCTTTTCATCTGCTCTTGGAAGCCAGTCCTTAACATATCTGGCTTGTATTGCAAATTCCTCTCAACAGTTTGTATGTCTTGCTTTTTGTGTGTGTCCAGCGACCATCCCAGTTGTCCTTTTGGTGTTTGTGATCTTGTGTGTGCCTTCTGAAAGTGTGAAAGGGCATTACTAACACTGTTTGAGGCAGTGTGATGTGCAGACTAGGAGAAGCAGGGTTGATATTATTTGAAAGCAGTGTGTGGGCTGCTATGACAGCTCAAATTGTTCAGTGATTGCAGCTTTTTGAGTTTGACTTTATGCTTTTCAATGCAGCCTGTGAATGTTCAAAGTGTTATATAAGTAAAGCAACTAATATCTATACACAACAGTATATGTCAAGAGTCCTAGAATTGTATGGAGAATAATAAATCATCTTTAACTGTTTAACTTTTGCATTGCACATTCTTGAAGAGCAGTGAGACAAACTCTCAAGATCTATTTGAGATGTTATCATTTAAAAACTAAATTTGAATATAAAAATGTCAAGGTGTGTGTAACTATACCACCTCCTTGTGTACTGGTATACTAACTATAGCAAATGAAATTGTCCTATATTATTCATAGCTGTGAACAGATAGTTGCTGCGGCTACAGCTTTCTTCTCTTGTCAAAGGTTTTCTATAACCATAACAGAGGCACTTAAAAAAAAAATGTTGTAACCCTATTACCTCTTATTACTTGTAATTGGTATCCCTGTGGGCTGGGTACAGGCTACATGAATAAAATTATTCATGCTCAATCCACCCACATCATTGATGGCCATGATAAAGGGCCTTGCTCTGTTGTTCGGCTACGACTTATCTGAAATTAGATTGGAAAGCGGCGAGGGGGAGGGAGGTATACAGGGTGGGAGGAAAGAGACAGATAGAGGTGGCTGTAGCATAAGAAATGGAGATAAATGGTGTGAGGAAGAACAACAGAGCCTCTTGGTAAGGGTGCAACTGAAGAATATTGGGGCAGAATAACAAAAAATGGTCTTGCTGTGAAAGTGCTGTTTGTGTTTGAGAGGGAGAGTCAGGTAGTGTAGAAGGGAACACACACAAAGAGCTACATTGTATTTACAGGGGATTAGAGTAAAAATACATTACAGTGAGCGAAAGTGCTTCAGTGTCCACTTTGTGAAAAAGAACCCATGGTGTGTTGTACTGGTAAGAAGGTTCTTCGAGGTGGCTGGCCCAGCTGCCCCCTGCTGGCCGCATCAGACACGGCCTTGTTGACTAATAAAGCTTGAGGCTTGAGCCTGTCACTGCAGGTATCATCCTCACTGCCAGCCTCCCAGAGCAAACACAGCTAATTACTTTTTCTCTGCCCAGCCCAAGCACCAGCTCAGCCCTCTCAGTGCCCATTCATCTTAATTTCCCCCTCTCTGCCATCTGCCTCCTAAATAACACTCCTCCTCATTTCCCTACTATGCCATATCCCCGCTGCCTTCTTCTATACTCTCATGGCCTGGCAAAATCCCTCCCAGAACATAATTGCCTGTTATTGGTAAGAAGTCTCTCCACTTCTCCTGCCGCACCCCTTCTCTCGGCGCTCCTTCTCTCCTACTGAGATCCAGACTTTAATTGCCCTGGGTTTAGTCGCTGGATTGAGTGAAACTCACAGGATGCTCCGTGTTTAGTCGGGAGGTGATGAAGTTTAGTTGGCGGCACAAGCACTTAAACAGATGCTTTCAGTTTCACACCACCCTACTTCCATCTTTTCCCACAGTTTTAAATACCCTTTAATAATTGATCTCAGGGGTGTTGCTGCACTCCAATGGAGCAGCAAAGAGAATTTAAACAGCAACATCTGTGCCAGAAGATACTCTAATAAGTAGTGATGGGGAGAGATTGGAATGGTCAGTCTGCTTGGTGCCATTAAGCTTTTCTACCAAGGGACACTCAAGTGCACTCGGGTTTTCTTCCTTTTGTCGTCAGCAACAAATCAGACGACCAATAGATTGTGCTCCCCATCACCAGACTTCAATGAGACTTGTGTACTAGATTATTGCTGCTGTGCTTCGTATCGTAGACCTTAATCATAAATCTTATTTAATTATATATAATGTCACTGTAACTTTATTTTCTAAGAGTTTAAATTTACGCCTAGCTACTAAATGTTCTCAGACAGACAGAAGGGTGTCGCCTTGACCATTGTCAGGCATTTATCACATGGATCTTAGCTTTGTAATTAGCATGTATGCATGTTTCGCTCGTCTGGCCAACATTTCAATAGCCTGTCATGTAAATTGAATTCCCTAGCTGGGACCTCCCCAATTGGGTCTTTTTCCTGTATAAAGTGCCTGTTTTTCTGTTGTAGCAAGGTCAGATCTTGGGGCTATCTACTAGTGCAGGACCTCTGGCCTTTCAAGCTGGAAATAAGATTGATTCTATTAAACGCTATAACTCTTTGTTAAATAACACAACTTTGGTTTAAGCTTGTATATTTGTTATGTTATTACCAGAAGGTGATTTAGTGTGGAATTTCCACCACACTTGGTAGTCATGATGAGTGGACTTATTGGCATGTAATAGAAAATATGATTCAAATGATTCCTTATTGTTTGCTTCATTTTGCTCTCCTCCTCTTCCTCCCTGCTCTCCTCCTGCTGGAGTCTTTGGTTTAAGTAGGGGATCATGCTTGGGCTTCTAGCATCCCCCCCCCTACACTTCCTCTCTGGCTTCTTCTCCCTTACTCCTAAATTGGTTCAGCACACTTTAACATGAGCCAGCAGCTAAGGCGTTAGCTTGGTCTGCAGTCTCCCTGAGCACACATTCTCCCGTAGTCTTAAAAGTACACTGACACACCCACAGACTTCAGGGGATGAAGGTAAGCGGGCTTTGTGGTGGCTGTGGCCCGGGTTAGGATAAGGCTGCAGGGCTCTGGGACTCCTCGGCACTCTAAATTGGATTGCACTCCACAGAGTGATGGATCGATGGTGGTTAGCCACACAGGTGTAAGAGACTTGAATCTGCAAATTGAATCTATGAAGCAGCCATAGCTTTTTAACTTGTGTCCTTCTGAAAACATCTCTCCAGGCACTGTCTGGCCAGTTCAGCCTTCGAAGCAAACCCTCATCTCAGCCTCACTGACTCCCAAGGTGCCGTGTGCAAGTACTTGATGAAAGGAATCATATAAATCTCTTTTGTTATCGTTGTGTTTGAGCAAGAGCCTTCACGGCGGTAAGACAGCCCAAGCGAGGTGTGCATTTTGAGGGTGTGAGCATGTGATGATCTTTTTGTGTGATTCATAAGTGTTAAGACAAAACAACATCTACAGTATGAAGGGTTCTATGTCTCTCTCTTTACGAGCAGTTACTTCACATGTCTTTAGTGAAACCTAGCCTTAAAATGATCTGATAACGCTCTGAACTAGAACTTGACTTTGATGCAAAGGTCACTTCACACAGTCGGTGAACCCCTTTACCAAATTGAACAGGAGTTATTTTGCCTTACTTGCGCTTGAAAGCATTACGGTGTTCACACTAAAAGCAGGCCTCTGGTTATTAGAGATGTTGTGTGCTTTGTACTTGCAAACTTGATGACCCTTTTTGCTGAATTTATGTTTCTGTATATAATGTTGGATCCCTGGTTCATGCAGGCAGCTATTCAGTGCATACTTTATATAACTTGGCTTCAGGTGTGAATGACAGTTGGAGATGAGTAATAGGCTTACTTTGAGACTTAACCCACAATGTCTTTCAAAGGTTGTACGGCACACAATCGTTAAGAGGAAACTGGGGAGAGTGTGAAGTTGAAATGAAAGTTTAAAAAGTGAATAAAGGAAGTTGGTTTCTTCCTACTTTAGTGTGCTCACATTTGAGACATTTGTGAAAAATGAGCAGGGAGAATCGGTGTCTGTAGCTTCCTGGGGGTACTCCAGTGGAATCTGCTTTCAGATGCTTGCCTTTTTTTTTTAGACTGATATGTGGATTCCACTGCAGGCTACTGTATCCTGTGGATTGCATGTGTGCTTTTTCATTCCTCTTCCACATTTCTGTCTCCTCATATCAATGTCAATTATGTCCTACAAAGTTCCTCAGTCTACTTTTTGACTTTGTTTTGTCTCCACTTTATCTCCTCATTTGCCTTGCTGCTTTTCCCCAGACATGACATAGGCAGAAAAAGAAGGTGTCATTAAATCATCTCTGTGATCCCAAGACAAAAAGAAGGGCACAGACGCTCTGCTCCCAAGATCTATTCGAATTGATGTGACACGTCATTGTTTAAAAAACGTGACTTTAGCAGTGGCTGATTTATCTGCTTTTGGTCATAATATATCACCCATGCAACACATACGCCCTATGCGTTTTTCATTAAAGTGACAGATTATTGCCAAAGAGCTCCTTTCCCTGAACACTGGAGTGCTCACTCTCCCCTTCCACATAAACCCTCATGCATACATGCATAGGAATCGTCAGCTTAATCCTTGTGTTTTAATTATGTGCAGGCGAAAGGTTAAAGGCTACTGCTGGGTCGGGGCGTTAGCTGTGTCTGCAGCTTGGACAGGTGTAGTGCTCTCTGTATTCATGTCCACAATCATCTGGCCGCTCGAAGTCACAGTCTCTCCCTTACTGCCACACTTGATAGGTGGTTAATATGTTTAACTGTGCTTAGAAGAAGGGGTATCCAGATGGGAAAGTGTATCTTGACCTGCCTTTTTCTGTCTGTCTGAAGTGCTGCACTTGGTGTGTGTGTGTGTGTGTGTGTGTGTGTGTGTGTGTGTGTGTGTGTGTGTGTGTGTGTGTGTGTGTGTGTGTGTGTGTGTGTGTGTGTGTGTGTGTTGTGGTTGGTAGGTAGGTACTAGGTAGTCGTCGTCGTGTCGTCGTCGTCGTACGTCGTGTGTGTGTGTGTGTCGTGTGTGTGTGTGTGTGTGTGTGTGTGTGTGTGTGTGTGTGTGTGTGTGTGTGTGTGTGTGTGTGTGT